GCGCTGCCTTCACGACCTCCTCCACGTAGAGTCGCGACAGTCCCTCCCTCCTCCCTGAGCTGCCTTCACGACCGCCTCCACGTAGCGTCGCGACAGTCCCGCCCCCTTAAGATGGGGGAGGGGGGTCATGGTAGGTTAGGTACTACTGAAAGGGGTCACGTACTGGAAAAGTTTGGGAACTGCTGCTCTAGAATGAGTGAGTGAGTGGGCGGGGGATAGAGCGTGCGAGAGAGAGAGAGAAATAGAGAGCGTGAGAGAGAGGGTCGCCTGTTTTTCTAGCGTACAGCCTGTAATACAGTAACTCATCGATCAGCGATCAACAATTTGAACAATGAGGATCAGAAATCTTCCCCCTTCTCTCGTGGAAGTGGAACGTGGCCCGTAGTAAACTGTTCTTATGTATTTAAACAGCAGCAAAGTTCCAGGGTGCGAAATAAACGGGAGTCCTGACTCAAATACTCCCTGATTTACTGTCGGACTCCCTGATTTGATACCCCTGGTAAACTGTTCTTATATGTAAACAGCGGCAAAGATATCCTGTAGCGCCGTATATATACCCACCAGCCGAGCAGATTCGTCGCAGCAACGTGGGTTAACAAACTCAATAATATTTTGCTCTGAATTTTAAAGGGTCCAGTAATAGTTTTCCATGATTTCAATGGACCTGATAATAGTCTGCCATGATTTTAATGTGTTCTATTGATTTGAATGAACCGTATAACATTACCCCATGATCCTAATTAACAAATCCAATATAGCATTTTGCCATGATCTTAACTCACCAAATATTTTTGCATTTTCTTGTGATCGGGTGCGAATTAAAGATGCGGGGGAACCAAATTATTTTCGGAATCGCCAAAATTTTATCGTACCCTGACGTGCGAAACTCTGCCTTCCAGGCGACACCAAAAGTAGAGGAACTGACGCCGTACCAGGGTAAGAATCGCTGTTTCGGTGAGTACAAGTGCCCAAAGTGCCAGCGGAAGTGGATGTCGGGCAACAGCTGGGCCAACATGGGACAGGAATGCATCCAGTGCAACATCAACGTCTACCCACACAAACAGGTAGGAATCCTGCTCCCTGCCGCCACCGCTTCCATGCAGCTGCTATAGTTTGTCAGGAGTAGAAATTAACTTTTGAACACGGCAGTCCAACGGACTCCCTACACTCAAAAAGAGGGAGTCGACAGCAAAATAAGGGAGTCCGCAGTCTGAGGTTCAAAAAATTAAAGATATTAACAATAACGCATGTGCTTACTTTTAAGATTCATGCGGTTGTACGTCTGCCAAATTTTCTTTGGACATTAGCTAAAAAAAAAGGTAATTCCGCGAGGCCGTGCTCCGGAACGAACTAGTTAGGATGGCAGAATTTGCAGGGAGTCACACGGACTCAGGACTGCATATGTCAAATCAGGGAGCCCGACATTAAATCGGGGAGTATTTGACTCTGGACTCGCGTTATTTTCGCACCCTGGTTTGTGGAAGCAGAAAACGTCCTTAGAAATGTTCTCGCGTCGGGCTGCAACCCACAGGGCAACACATATTGCTTGCAACCCACCTGCACCTCATTAATTAATATCTTTTGGTTGATGACGTCATGCTACTACTATGAAAACTCGACTATGTTATTTACTATATTTGTGGCTTCACACGTCCTCGCTGGAATTCTTTCTCCGCGAGACAAAGGCGCATTTCTACCAGTGAGTCGCGCATGCAAAGAATGATTGCTCCATCGCGCGACAAACGCAAAGATTCGTCCCGCCTGATAAATAATTTAATTAATTAATTAAAAATGATAAATACGCAAATAAATACAAATTAATTAATTAATTGAAAAACTATGAATAACCAATAAATAAATGGTCTGCTTGCAGAGCCCCCTGGAGAAGCCGGACGGCCTCGACGTGTCCGACGAGACCAAGGAGCATCCTCAGCACCTGTGTGAGAAATGCAAGGCGCTCGGACACTGCTGCCGCCGCCGCCGGTTCCAGTAAGTCGACATGTTCGCATCAGCGCCCCCTAGCGGCGGCATTCAACAACAGGGGCCGAGATTTTCGTTTCGTTCTCTGCTGTGTTGTGCGGTTTGGGGCGCGACGACAAGTGAGCGTGCGGTCGCGCTGCGCTGACTGTTACTAGTTTTAGGCACGGGATTGTAGGTAATATTGCTATTTTTAGTGCGAGTCGCGGACCCCTCTATAGAGCTATCAACCGAGTTGATCTACTGATTTGATGAACCTTAATTATCTCTCCGTCTCTTATTATAGTCACTTGCTGAGAACAATGTATACATTTTATACGTGAATAATCAAGACCTGGTCGGGCTAAGAGAGTCAGAGACCGCGGTAACAATTTCTTTGCGCATGAATCCGTTCCTTAATCGTTGCATGTTGAAAAAATAAGTTGTTGAATTAGGATTGTTGGATCATTGTTTATTTCTTGTTTCAGTAATTGACTGGCATGCAGTTTCTTCATTTAGATGCTTTTATGTTTTAGTTGGAAGTGAATAACTATTGTTCCAGTGGCAAGTTTTTTTAGTTAATTTTCATTACCATGAACTAAGATGGTTTTATAACTAACTAACTAACTAATAAACCAAATTATCGTACCTCATTATATAACGCAATGCTATTTTCCTGCTCGCTGCCATTGGTTATTTCGCAATGTTAACTAGCCATGTGATTATAATTGATGCAATACCCGCTCAGACCGAAGTACCCTGAAGTTGCTGGTGGAAGTGCACAAAGATTTATGTTCATGTTTTTTAAATAATTAAATATTTAATTTAACATTTAATAGTTTGTTTCTCTTAATATTGGTATATGTTTATTCGGTATAATGAAATGAATAATGACTGGCCTGGAGGGTAATATTGCAGATGGTCTCCCCTTGGAACCAATACTTCTCTCAGCTGACTAATGGAACTAGCTCCGATAGGACTCTGCTCTCTGAGGAATATTGGTTCCTTGGGTAGGCAATCCGCAATATCCCCATTCAGGCCTGTTATTATTTCTATACTAGCGTAGGTTAATTTTCTTTACCCTGAACATGAAATCAAACTTTTTAACTTCAACCAAATCATTACTTGCTGTCTTACGCAACAAAATGTTTCAACAAAATGTTTCAAGTTCAAAATCAGAGATTATTATATTTTTATATATCATGAAGGCTTACATACAGCAAATAGTTTTCTGTTTGTACAACACTAGCAAGTGTGTTATCAATTTAAACAGTATTTGGCAAGTTTCCCATCTGTAGGATCAACTCCTTTTGTATGATTAATTAGTTCTTGAATAGCTCCCACAGGTAGTCAGCCAGAGGTTGATTGTGTGTGGAGCGAGGGGTCAACACGAGAGTTGATTCGACTTCGGGAATCAAATCTCGATAAATTCAACTCGTCACGTACCCCAAACAAAAGGGTTTTGGAACAAATTGCGGTTGAACTAAGACCTATGTTGGTGGTAAGCTTACATGCATGTTTTTAGATAAAATCTCAAAAGTAAGCAGGGAAAAACTGTTTAATATAACTATCTTAGTAAGATGAATAAAACTTTAAAAATTAGATTCAAATATCTCAATAATTTTATACGATTTGCTGTCTGTTGAAACTTGCAATCTTACAATTACACGCGTAGCATAACCACATTGGAAACAATCACACGAGTCATTGCAATACTAAAATATAAAAATATCCTTCAGGTCACAGGTTTGCAGGTTGAAACAAAGTGGAAAAATCTGGTCAGAAAGTATAAAAGTTGTTGACCACAACGCAAAATCCGGCAATGGTCGGAAAACATGGGTGTTCTTTGATGACATGGAAAATGTCCTCAAGGATGCACCTAACATCCGGCCGCATTTTACTGCTGCCTCTATGCCAGGAGCCTCCGGTGCTGTGCCTGAGGAGGGGTCTACACCAGGATCCTCCACGTCCACTGCAGGAAATTCTTCGGGTAATGAATTTTCTTGCATGGACCGGAATTGAATTACTCTATACTCGTGTATAAGTCGATCTTGTACATAGGTCGACCCGATTTTGTCCAAGAATTCAATAATTTATAATATGCCTCGTGTATAGGAATTTGCCTGTGATACCGTATATATGATATGATAATGACATTATACGGTGAGTTATATAGAGATGCCAACTACTGTGATTTATACGAATTTTGTTTGCATTTTGACCACTACGACCAGTTTGCATACAACTACGATTTTTATTAAAATTGTAAAAAAATTATTTTTATGATATTTCAAGTGTTTTGTTTCAGTGCTACATTGATATAACATGATTAAAAATAACTACATGTATTTAGCAGCAAATATCAGTGTGAATAATATCCCAGTGGGCACATGACGTTATATTTACGTTGTATTTACGTCGGATCCTAACGTCGGATTTACGTCGGATTATGGTTGGATATGAAAGTTAGATAGACGTCATATTCCGACGTTGACACAACGTCAGAACACGACGTCAGAATTACGTCAGATTCCGACGTTGACACAACGTCGGATCCTAACGTTGGATTTACGTCGGATTATGGTTGGATATGAAAGTTAGATAGACGTCATATTCCGACGTTGACACAACGTCAGAACACGACGTTGGATTTACGTCAGATTCCGACGTTGACACAACGTCAGAACACGACGTTGGATTTACGTCAGATTCCGACGTTGACACAACGTCAGAACACAACGTTAGAA